TATAGGACGTCTTGTGTTACTGCCAGTAACACAAGACGTGATTGGCTGATGAACATTTGATGACGTAGTCAGCCGTCAGTGTGGGCGTGGCACACGGCTTACGATACTTAGCATTAAATCAGAGATTTTAAAACATTTTTAGCGGACTGCCAGTTAGCGGAACTAAATTTAGCGGAAGCTAATTGGTCCGTTAAAGGTTTTCAAAGTTAGCTGAACAGCTAATCCGATAAGGAAAAAGTTAGCTTCGCTAATTAGCGGTTAGCGGATTAGCGGAACTGTGGCCACCACTGCCATTAACCAATGAACAATATTTAATTAACCATCCAACGGAGAATGGCAAATATTCCGCAACATGGCGGAACTTTCTACCTGAAATTAGGTTTACTAATTATTAAAGCAAAATATTAAATTTCTTATACTTCTGTATACTTTTCTTATACTGTGTGTACTTTTTCTGTACACACTTAGCAAATCGCCATCAAAACTATCCTTCCTCGATGTCTAACTCTGAAGTTCAAAGTTGAAATGTACACATGAAGACAAGGGACCTCGAAGTTGTAGGCTAGCGCCAAGTTCGCTAAGCATTTTTTCTAGGGGCAAAAATGAACTTTGTTGATCTCCTGAGTTACATTATAAAGTTTTAAGTTAGATAGTAAAGTAAGGTTGGTTATTCGATTCAAGAGTTTCTTATAGCAGCTGAAAGTTTGCGTTTTATGTGTAAGTTAGTTACTAGAGTTACAAGTTGTAGTTACCTAACAATAACCCACCCATCCGCACCTCAGGCAGCTCATTAAAATTACCAATAACATGTCTGTATCTACAGCAAAACTTCTAAGTAATGTTCCACTTCACAACCGAAAATTTCAAAAGGTAAATAAGTGCATTATTAAATCAACAAACCCCTTTTTGATTGACAAACACTTATTTACGACATGAGTTATGGGCAAAAGTTTATATGAAATACATGCAAGAACGAAGTTGCTCGCAACTTATTTGTGAGTTGCAGTTTGGATTCATCAAATTTAATTTTTCAATTCACGTTCGATTTGTTGCCAAGATTTTTTCGATGTTGCCGCGATTCCTAATCTTTCACTTTTTAAATGCATACGTTTTAATTTTATCTGTGATTTTTTTTCTGTTCAGTTTCATGTCTTCGATCTTGGCGTGAGCACGTGTTATTATTGTAAGCCTAGTAAGGTGGTTTTGGAGGCCTATGGATGCGTGACGCTCGATCAAATTGACTGAGAAATTTTGTTCACAAATGAAAGTCCAGTGTGACAATACGAAACGTTGACACAAACCATTCGTGTGTGCCCAATTGAAATAATCTTTGACTGATGTTTAGAAAGATAAATTACTTGTAGACGAAGCATTTGTCACAATATGACACTCTCGAAACGAATTTCTTGAACAACAGTCACAAATTGACTCAATATTGACTAAAACAAGGACATACTTCGCCACAAAGTTGAAATTGATTGACTAGATAGTTGGCGGTGCACAGGGAACTGTGATGTTGCGGTGCATACAGGACTGTGATGCCGTCAAGTTTGTCCTGCAGATTGTTGGTGAAGGATGCGATGAGGTGATGATCCTGTCCGCGCAAGGACTTAAAGTGATGTACTCGCAAAAATCCAGGACTAAATATTGAATGTGTAACGTAGGAGTGATGACAGTGATGAACAGAACAGAGAGCACCTCACTGAAAACCATGCTGGTTAGGATAACTGTGCTAATTAAAAGATAACCGCGCTGGTTAGGATAACTGCGCTAGTTAAAGATAACTGAGCTGATTAGAGTAAATAGTGCTGGCTAGGTATTAACCGTGCTGGACAACCGTGTAAATAAACCTATGATTTGAATAATTTGTTTGTTATCCTGCTTTCTTCTGAAGACTTCATTTGACGCAGCATCAAGCGTTGCTCGCTTCATCCCAAATAACGGCCGACGAATGACAACGATTGCTTGCATTTTGCATATTTCAAAGACCAACATTCAATAACGTCT